ATCTTCAAACAAAAGTGTAAAGTAACAACGCTGTTACCGAAACGTCACACACTATTTTTTTATTTGGATTTGGTCTTATTACCTTGTGTTTATAATCTATAATCCAAATTGTGCCTTATTAAGTTTTCAACATTTTTTTTTTACACATAATCAGATTTCTATAATATGCATCTATTCATGTATGCATAACATTTGTAAGAAGAATTCTCAGAGAAGGATGACATTAATAATCATCAAATGTATTATTTATTATTGGGTAGCCAGTATCAAAAAAGAGAGAGCTACTAACTTTGCATGGAGAGATTCCATCTTTCTATTTCACCAACTCCCGTCCTATTGAGTCCCTAATACATAGTCCTATGGTTCCCAGAATGATGATGTATATAACACAAACTAACTTAGAAGACACCAACCTGCTTGAGAAACCTTGAAGCATAGGAATGGATGAGATAGGCGATGGATCCGTATTCTATCCAGAGGGCAGTGTGGGAGGAGTCGATGGTGAGGGCATGTTTGAAGCAACGGAGGGCGGCCCTGGCCCTCTTGAAGATTTGGGGGTCGGCCTTGAGGTCGGGCTGCACGACTGTCTGTGAAGATCACACAGAATCAAAGTTGACTACAGCACAACATTGGGGTAATGGTGCTCTGCCACGGGGGCAATAACACCCTAGCTAGGTACAACAAGGTACAATTTGGATTATAGATCATTTGTGTAATATTGGCACAAGAGGATAAGAAAGAACAACAATCAAAAAGTGCTAAATTGGTTGTTCAGATCTTGTACCTAAACAAAAGACAACATAACCAAATTCAAATAAATAATTAGTGTAAGATGTTTCTGTAACAATATTGCTACTAAAATGTCAACACTATTTACAAGGTTTTCCCAAAAGTTCATAAATACTTGCAAAACAATTGAAATACCAATATTATTCGCCATAATAATATTCACTGTTATGTATAATGTCTTTGTATTATTGTAGAACGACATTTGAAAATTATCCCGCATTTGTTTCTTTTGAATGAAAAATCAAAATTTATTTTAAGGAGAAATAACAATTATTTCTAACCTTAGGGATGAAGTATGAAAGGATGAATTGTGAAGAGTAATAATGAATGGAAAAATAAAATATCCATTGTATTGTATTATGTATAAAGTAATTGTATTATGTATTAGAGCTGTAATACTATTATTCGCCAAGTAATAAGAAAAACGTTTTAAAAAAAAACACAAACTTTTGGAACAACCTTATATTTGGATTTGGTTATTTTGTCTTTTGTTTAGGTACAAAACCCTTGTACAAAGATTGCACGAATTCCATGAGTCCATGCTCCTTGAACTGTGTGTGTATGTGCACTTTTTTTAATAGATAAAATAATTTTCTAACATCCTTACTACAATGAATAAAATGTTGGAAAGGCTTGGCTCATCAGAAGTCGGAATCCTCCCAATAGCTTAGTCAATTTAATCTATCAGATTTCTAAACTATTGTATTGGGCTAGTGTGTTTCCCTATATAGTAGCCAACCTCTCTGTAAAGGACAACACCAAGTTGTAGAACAAAATGTCCATTAGGTGTCCTCTTACCAGAGAACTGCTAATTAGTATATATGGTAATTTCGGTGATTAAAATTGTCCTTTTTAGAGAGATATCTTCTAGCTGGAATGTCCACTCATGAACTGTATATACAGTAAAACCCCGCTAATACGAACCCCGGATATAACGAACCTACGGCGATTCCCGATTCCATTACATTGAAAATACCATCGTTATAACAAACTTCGCGATTTTTAATATAACAAACTACCCCTATAACGAACTTATTTTAGGTCCCGAAATAATAAAATCTATTTAAAATACTATGCGCATAAGGAACTTATAATTGTAATTAAAAAAAAAAAATTAAAACAACAAAATTTTGAGCATTTTTTAGCGCGATTTCAAAACAATAAATATAGAGGCATTGTTTGTTTTCATTTACATTCTATTTTTGCTGTATGTTGTATAAATTTTTACACATTATACTTTTTATTAAATACAATATCTTTGCAAGCATCAAATTCGAAATAGAAAAAATGCAAATGGCTTCCAAAATAAAGAAAACAAAGGCATTCTAAACACAAAAACGTTATTACTTGAAAAAAAAAAAAGCCATTTTCAAAACTTTTCAAAGTGAAACAACACAGACAAAATTTCAGAACATGTTAAAATTAGTAAATATAGCTTTTCTATTATAAGAGATAAAATAGAAGGTTATTAAAATTGTTTACAAAGAAGCATCAACCTCAACTTTTGCCACGATCGTACATGTTAGGGTAAAAAAAAAAGTTCAAATAAACGGGCCCATGATGCAACAAAATTTATTTTTTTTTATGCCATGAACTATGGCGATTTTAAAGCCAGCAATGGTTTGCATGACAGGTTAAAAACAAAACGAAATCTAGACTTAAGAAGAATATGTGGAAACATGAAATGAAAGAAAAACACTTATTAACTTTATTTGAAAGGTGCAATGCTTAAAGAGTGCTTTGAAGCAACAAGGTATTAGAGCCATATTTTCACGTAAACATTGTTTTTATATAATGTGACAATGATGTTTTAAAATCATTTTATATCTTTGAATATATATTTAATAAAACTTTGCCTAGGATTTGTCTTGATTTTGAAATTAGACAGAGATGCATGTATGCTAATGATAAGAAGAACCTATCATCTAATGATTTCTATTATTATTCAGTATTAATGTAAGGAAATTGGTTAATTAAGGGAATTAAAACAAAGTAACCACTATTAAGAGGCAGCCTCTTCCTGTGTGTATGCCTGTCCTTTATTTATATGGTCTAAAAATTTTGAAAAGTAAAAAAAAATAGCCAAACCGTGGCTATAGTGAACCAAAAGCTCTGTCCCATTGGGGTTCACTATAGAGGGGTTTTACTGTATATCCAGAAATAGAAGGAAATTCTTGGGTTTTAGAGTTTTAAACAAAAATATGTACATAAGCTTTAAGGACAGTAGAATTTCATATAAATAGTTGAATTGAGCATGGCTTTTCCACAAATAATTCACATAAGGCCATTTATGCAATTTGCTTTAAACAAAGGAGCAATACATAGATTTTTTGAAGAAAAAATTTCACCCTAAAATGGCTAGAATAGCAACCAACTTTGTAACACTAAAAAAATGACCTGTCAAAACCCAACTTCCGTTGAGAGCCAACCTCCAGGAGAGATAAATGGAGGTTTAACTCTGTGTTTAATTTAAAAATGGCTGATGTCAGATTACAATGAAAACTGACATTTGCTGGACATGTGATGCCTGGATTAGCAGGAGAGACATTGCTGAGAGTGTTGGAGGGAAAGCTCCGGGGGAAGAGATCGAGGGAAAGGAGACGACAGGGATACACAAACGATCTAAAACAATGGACTGGACGACTGGAGATATGGAGAGACCATGTGGCCCACCCTCAGTAGAGGAAGGCATTGAAGGAGGGAGATACGGAGAGACCATGTGGCCCACCCTCAGTAGAGGAAGGCATTGAAGGAGGGAGATACTGAGAGACCATGTGGGCCACCCTCAGTAGAGGAAGGCATTGAAGGAGGGAGATACTGAGAGACCATGTGGCCCACCCTCAGTAGAGGAAGGCATTGAAGGAGGGAGATATGGAGAGACCATGTGGCCCACCCTCAGTAGAGGAAGGCACTGAAGGAGGGAGATATGGAGAGACCATGTGGCCCACCCTCAGTAGAGGAAGACATTGAAGGAGGAGGATGCCAGACTAATACCATTTTGAAACTCAAGGTAATAGGTCCAAATACAAAAAAATAAAAAGTGTGTGACATTTCCATAACAGTGTTGTTACCATTGTTCTTAGAAAACTATTTCCTTCTTATCTACTATCATATTTACACACTTGATAACAGTAACTTTATAGAAGTATACTGTGATATTTTTTCCCTCATTCAGTAATTTTGTCTGATGATGTTAACAACGCTATTACTGAAATGCAACACACTATTTTATTTATTTAGATTTGGTCTTATTAACTTGTGTTTCTAATCTATAATCCAAATTGTACCGTATCATTTTGAAAATGATATCTATTGCTTCCACTTATGAAATTGCAGGCTATTATTGAAAATAAATATTAAATGCAATGGGTGATAGTGGTACTCATCCCAAATGCATTAAGGTGGTTAATAAGTGACCGCTTTTACTGCAGGTGCACCACATGTCTAGACATATAGAAAGCAGTTTGACTTCTGCACTTCCAAGGGTGCCAGAGCACTGTTTGGATTGGGGATCGGTGGAAGGGAGATCTAAACCGTTGGTTTTCGACTGTACGACCCATTTTTTTCTAATTAAAAAAAAAAAAAAAGTTTCAATGGCCACCGTTTCTTGCAAAAGTCCAACCACACCAGCGTGTACAAGTAACCAAAACGGGGTTCTGGCACATTTGTAAGTGCAAAAGTCAAACTGCTTTTTACATGTGTAGTCATGTGGTGCACTTACAGAAAAAGCAGTTGCCAAATTCTACCCACCATGATTATCATGGCCTGTACCACGTGTAGTAGGGATAATGAAAAAAATAAAATTGAAAAATTGTTTGAATACTTGAACTTACTGGTGGAGTTGTATTTTGGAAAGCATAAGGGTCCATTGGAGCAATTTTTATTGATAAAATGTTAGCTTCCAAGAGTTATTAGCACTTCATCAGACCAATGAGACAAGAATTGTAAAAGTAAACTTCAGTTATGGCTAGCAAAACCCTTTTTTTTATCCCTAGTACACGTGGTACAGGCCATGATAATCATGGTGGGCAGTTAGCGACTGCTTTTACTGTAAGTGCACCACATGTCTACACACGTGAAAAGCAGTTCGACTTTGCACTTACAAATGTGTCAGAGCCCCGTTTGGTTACTTGCACTCGCTGGTGGGGTTGGACTTTTGCAAGAATCGGAGGCCATTGGAGCATTTTTTTTTTTTTTTAAACAGAAAAAAGTGTCCAATGCGGGAATCGAACCCGGGTCGTAGTGGTTGAAAACCAAACAGTTTAACCAGCCTTCCACCGACCCAATGTAACCTAAACAATGTAACCACGTGTACCACAGGCTGAGTGATATCAATCCAGATGTGTAAAGAGACTAATAACTATTTATTTTAAAATATATTCTCAACCTGCAATGCCAAACCCCATTATTGACTGTATAGACTCATTCATTAATGAGCTCTACTTATCCCCAGCAGACACCATCTCAAACTCTACAGGCTTGATACTCTGATATGATTGTTGAGTGGAGATAAGAAAGAAGAGAAGAATAAGAATATCTACAGTACAACCTTTTTGATTAAATCAACTTTAATTCAACCATTTTCTTTAAATCCCAAGAATGTTATATTTCTTTAACCGACTTGAAGGAAATGATTGAAAAAATGGCAGTTATATAGGGTTTACATACAGAACAGTACATGCTGATTCCTACATGCAAGATGGGCACTACACCAAAAAACACACAGATGTAGATTCCTACGTGCAAGATGGGCACTACACCAAAAACACATGGATGCATATTCCTACGTGCAAGATGGGCACTACACCAAAAACACATGAATGCAGATTCCTACGTGCAAGACAGGAACTACACCAAAAACACATGAATGCAGATTCCTATAATTAAAAAGGCATATATTGGATCAAAATATTATTTATTTTACCAATATTTCAGTTGGCTGAACGCCAACCTTTATCAAGGTGATATAACATTTTAAAGTGTGTCAACAACAAAACTCAATGCCACATAACGTCAACAGAAATATTGGTAAAATAAATAATATTTTGATCCAATATATGCTTTTTTAATTAAAGATTATTATTTTCAAAGAAGATTCCTACGTGCAAGACAGGAACTAGACCACCATGCATGGAAATGTGGAGCATACACAGAGACAACCATGCAGCTACACACTATATTACCTTCCTTGGTGAGGAGATACTTTGATGTTAAATTCTTGGAAGAGGAGGGAGAGACTCACCAGGTTGAGCTTCGCCTCAAGTTGGGAGCTCCGAGACAGAGCCATACCCGCCCAGGAGTCAATACGATCCCCGGTGACACAGATGTCCAGGATGTAGAACTTGATGGCTTTCCTACACAACCCATCTTATACACAGTTGTTCCCCAACATATTAGCAAACTACATATATAAATGATAAGGCACAATTTGGATTATAGATTATAAACACAAGGTAATAAGCCCAAATCCAAATAAATAAATAGTGTGTGACGTTTCGGTAACAGTGTTGTTACCATCTTCAGGCAAAAGTACTGAATGCATTCTTCAGTACTTTTGTTTGAAGATGGTAACAACTCTGTTACCGAAACGTCACACACTATTTATTTATTTGGATTTGGTCTTATTACCTTGTGTTACATTTATAAATGTATAGATACCCTCACAAGTTAGCATTGAAGGCAATGAAGCTGCTGATGAGCTAGCAAAAAAAGGCAAAAGAGAACCCTTGCCACAGAGAAATAAACTTACTTTTAAAGAAATAGAGAGGGTAGCCAAAATAAAAATAAGTTCATATCAGAAATACTAATTATCAAGATATCTGAATTCTTACTGATAGTAGACGTGCCATACAACACTTGAATCACACCAGGGAGAACTTAGAGACAAAGTAAGCAGGTACATAATTGGTTATCTCCAAAAACTCTCAAAAATTCACCTAAATGGATACCCTCACACAATGGCATTGAAAACAATGAAGCTGCTGATGCACTAGCAAAAAAAGACAAAAGAGAACCCTTGCCACAGAAAAATAAACTTACTTTTACAGAAAGAGAGACAGTAACAATTAGAGGATCCCACTTAAGCACAGTTGGTACAGTGGAGTGGACCCAGAAGGAGCTCTGTACCTCAGACAGCTAAATGTGTTGACATGGATTGACCTCTGGCAGGTGTCCATCACACACTTATTTATTGCAGGATTGCAGATTTTTACAAAATACAAAAACCATATCATCATTCCCTTATCCACCACCTGGGGATGTTCCCTGTAGCAGTCAGCTCTGCCGAGGGATCAGAATTCTAGGAAGTTGAAACAAAGGAAAGGGAAAAAAGCCATTTACATCTATCAAACATGTATTTTCCATGTATGCTATATAGAAGGGACTTACTTGAAGTCCTTGTTCTTGAAGTGGAAGTCAGCCAGGAGGTAGTAGATGTCCCGTACAATAAGACTGAACCACACCACAGATGTAGACACCACCATGACACACAGTGGTAGGTAGACCTACCCTGGACTGACGGGATGGGGACCAGGATACTTCTCTGTGCTCCCCTCTATGTACTCTACCAGGGACTCAATCCGTGGTGTGGGATCTTCCTCCGCTGGGATAAGCTGGGTGATCCTACGGAACAGGTTCTCCGTCTGACAAACACAATCAGGTGATGACATGTAAAACACATTTGTAATTTTTTTTTTTTCTGTTTCTTAACCCCTTGTGTGGATATTACACCAATTCCAAGAGTTCATTTTCCTCAAGCTGTTTCTCATAAGCAGCGGCCTCTCCCAAAGGTCCTGTTTAGTACATCTAATACAAGCCAAAATGTGTTCTGGAGCTGCAGGTGCCAAGCTACATTTTGGGCAAGTGGGTTAGATTTTGTTGTTATTTTCTATCTACCATGGCTTGAGATGGCCTGTTTTAAGTTTGAAATTTTGTGAAGTAGGATAATCAAACCCCCAGAGATATCTTGATTAAGGACCAATAGTCAATCAGCAATTACTTTAGGGTAAAGAGATTCTTTATTTAATACAACACACATTCAATGTAGATATTCAATCATTGTAGTTTATTAGGTACAATTTGGTTTATAAGTTAAAAATACAGGTTAATAAGACCAAATACAAATAAATTAATAGTGTGTGACCTTTCGGTAACAGGTTTGTTACCATCATCAGACAAAGGAATAAAACATTTTATTTATTTAGATTTTATTAGACAAAATATATTATTTTGCCTGATGATGGTAACAAGCTGTTACCGAAATGTCACACACTATTAATTTATTTGGATTAAGTTTTATTTTCTTGCAAATATAATCTATAATTCAAATTGTGCTTTATCAAAAAATAGAATTGAAAACATGCTGATTGTAAAATGCCATGTAAACCTGGACTTACATCAGAAGAAATGGTGCTACTGCGGTAGCCATCAAACTCCGGGAGGAAGCTGGGCTTGAAGCATTCGAAGAGCTGGGAAGCTTTGTCCCAAGTGAGAGGAATCTATGCAGGAACTGGTCAGTCCTCTGAGTGTACACACCCTGGTAGAATATCACAGTACCTGGGGAGCAGAGTGATCTGCCAGGTGTTTGGCTTTAGCTCTCTGGTTGGGATGTTTGTAGAGGCAGTAGAAGCACTGTTCCAACCCTGACTCCAGGTCCTCCCGGAAGGGATGGGGCTGAGTGGTCTGGAGTTCTGACATCATGATGTCCACACAAAGCTGCAGCATCTGGCCATTCCCCGCTGTACACCAGCTGTGTCTGCACACACCACATGGCAGTCAGTGGTGTTGGGTCCGTGGACTCGGAGGGGTTGACTGACTAATAACCCAATACAGTAGAACAACCTCCTTGAATGGACACTCTCGCTAGAGGAAACCTCTCTACAAAGGAGAGTTTTCATTTGCAAAATTTCCATTTTTACTAACTAGCACCTCTCCAGTAAGAGGACACCTCTCTCTAAAGGACACTCTCGCTAGAGGAAACCTATCTACAAAGGACAGTTTTCATCTGCAAAATTACCATTTTTACTAACTAGCACCTCTTCGGTAAGAGGACACCTCTCTCTAAAGGACACTCTCGCTAGAGGACACCTCTCTACAAAGGACAGTTTTCATCTGCAAAATTACCATTTTTACTAACTAGCACCTCTTCGGTAAGAGGACACCTCTCTCTAAAGGACACTCTCGCTAGAGGACACCTCTCTACAAAGGACAGTTTTCATCTGCAAAATTACCATTTTTACTAACTAGCACCTCTCCGGTAAGAGGACAGTTTTCATTTGAAAATTACCAGTTTTACTAACTAACAACTATCCGTTAAGAGGACACGTCTCTCTAAAGGACACTTTGGCTCTACAATTAGGTATCCTTTACAGGGAGGTTCTACTGTATATAGCAGAAATATGCCACTAGGGCAAAATGAGAGCTCATGTACATTTTATAAGTGAATTCAGTGAACTTTCTACATGTCTAAATAGGTGATATACTAAGAAGTACATTCTGTTACGGGTATATATATACACTCATGGACAAAACTTAAGGAAGTTGTACCTTTTAGCATGTATATCAGGATTCAGACATTAATTCTCAAAGATGATTTGATATACAGTGACCTTCATTGAAGACACAAAATATAACCAAGTTTGAACAAAAATATCACTGTCTCCTTCAAAAATAGATGTCCAGCGACATTAAAGATGTTCCCCTTCCTTAAGCTTTGTCCATAAGTGTTAATCAAGAGTTTGTTATATTTTTGAACTTATATAAAAATATATATAAACAAAGGGTGTTTTTACCGTCCAAGGTATTCATGAGATGCAAAGAGGAAGGTGAGAGAAGGGGCCATTGTGGGGGGCAGGTCCAGCTCAGGGACCCTGATGGCAGGGAAGGGGACCTCCTGCTTCTCCTGGCTGCAGCACATGGTTGGTACATGTATTTACTACACTAAAGAGGTTACTAAACACTACATAGAGTGGAACAATCAACAACTTCGAGATTCAACATCGGACATCTCAAGTTGATATCTCAATTTTAAAGTCAACATCAAGAAATTTCCAACATGCATCAAGTGCAAAAGTGAAATCAATACTAAAGTGGTTACTAAACCCTACATAGAGTGGAACAATCAGCAATTTTGAGATTCAACATCGGACATCTCAAGTTGATATCTCAATTTTAAAGTCAACATCAAGAAATTTCCAACATGCATCAAGTGCAAAAGTGAAATCAACACTAAAGTGGTTACAAAACCCAAAATAGAGAGGAACAATCAACAACTTCAAGATTCAACATCAGACATCTCAAG